GCTGTTATCACCATATTAACAAATAAAACGATTGACGAATCTTGAATGTGGATGGGCCTGAGATTAGACTCATGATGTTCTGCTCAGTAAGCAAAAACGGTTGCTCTAAGGCCACCGAGCCCCTCATATCACATAATACCGTTGCTCAAATTTGTGTATCCATTCAAACCCGGAACCAACGACAACAACGAGTTTCGCAAAATACACGATACACAAGCGATTTTACCATAAATCTCTTTGATATGTAAGGACCTGGGACCGCGTTTTTCTGCTCAGTAAGCAGGCCACTGTAACCGACGATCTTTCAAATCCGAAAACTAAAAACTACGAAAAAGTACTTAGGCCTTCATTAAGTTCCACTTTCACGCGACGTTCAATGACAGGGTCCTATCAACAATCAATACGAAACTAACGATTTCAAACTGGCTCACTACTTGACCAGCCTATTGGTCCCAAGCAAACGATTAACGTACCCCATTCTAGTGGAAATTCTAGTACTACACTATGTTTGCCCTGATTCGCCATGAAAGTCTGACAGATAAAATGAGGGGCTAGTGGACTCTCCCATGTCTCGAGGGGTGAATCGACTAGCTTGGGACCGAAGAGAGTACCAGAGCTGAGCCAAAAAGTTGAGCACGTTTCTTCGAGACCTACTAGTCTTAGAGTTACCTCTATGGTCCTATCCAGGATTACATCTGAAAAATCCAAATCTGGCCAACGCCCACCCTAAACCTAAACCTGTTCTAATCCACCTGAAATGACTAACGAATGGATGACTTTGACTACCCATGCCATGCAATAGTCTCATTCCGTGCCTTATGGCAACTTGATGATTCTATTGCGCTCATCTTCTGGCACCACCCAGGGGAGACTTGGTCCTGTACCCAATGCTTAACTTATCTCCATTCCACTCAGCTACTCGCAATTTCTTTCTATTATTATATGAGACAATTCTATGCAGACGTCTTTCCAAATTTGGCAGATCGACAGGTAATCGGTGAGTTACCACGATAGTTGCTATTCAACAACTCGACAACGTCCCATCGTCAACGCCTGCTATGAGAATTTCCCATTGCAGACGCCAACGAAATGACGTCATCGAGCTATCGATCGACTACCCTGGTTATCGCCTGGTACCTTATAGCACGATGCTAGGAGGCGAACCGGAAGAATCGATGAGCTACCTCCCCCAGTAAGCTTTTTAGTTTTATTAAAGTGAGAAATTAAATAAGTGTTAAACTTCAAGTGTTGGGGCCTCCCTTAGTTCAGTCGGTAAAGGCGCAGCTACAAAGCAAGACCATGCTGGAGGTGGCTGGGTTCAATTCCCGGTACGGTCTAGGAATTTTTCGGGTTGGAAAATTTCTCGACTTCCCTGGGCATAGAAGTATGATTGTACTTGCCTCACAATTATACCAATGCATGAATGGTACAGGCATCGAAAGCTCTCAATTAATAACTGTGGAAGTGCAACTAGAACACTAGGTTGAGAGCATGCAATAAGCTAATATGCGATATGCAATATGCTTGAAATGCGAAGAAGAAGAAGAAGAAGAAGAAGAAGAAGAAGAAGATAATCTGGGCTAAAACTTCGCGGACGCTTAAGATCTCTGGAATTCCTCAAAGATCTCTAGCTCTTGTTTTTTTTCGAGATAAATAGAACTTCTTAAAAGTTTCCACAATTTTGCTAGAACGAAACTTCAAGACATTAAAAATGTTGTGATCTTAGATTTACTAAAATGAAATAAAGCTGTTTCTTTAAAACTGATTACCATGTCTTAAAAACGTTACGATAGAGAAAGACGATTAAACGTCAAAAAACTCCATACAAGGTCGTCAACTTCTAATTGTTCAAAAATTAGAACAAAATCGAAAACAACAAAAAGTTTGGATTTCCCATAGTAATTTCCATATAAACTTAAAATGGTTTGTGCCAAGTCAGTTTCTTTTCAAATGAGTTCAAATTTTGGGAGACTAATCAGGACCCGATTTGGAACCGTTTGAGCACTGTGGAGCGAAAATGTCAAAATTTGCATCAGTCTAATCTCCACCACCAATGAGTCAACAAAAGTCACGCACTAGTGGGGTGACTCTCCGTGCAATCAATGAAGAGTCACCGTCACCCTACTAGCGACAGAGAGCCATACTACTCGCAGAACAGGCCTGCAGGTGACGTTTAAAGTTCCACAATTTTACTGAAAATCTAAGAAAATTATTAAACATAATTTAATAATATAACTGCAGAGCACAAGCAGTTTAAATATACTGAGGACGTGTTGCCAAAATCGAACGGATACTTTATATGTTTATTAATTTATCTTACCTTTGATGGACCAACTACTTACCTGTCCTTAATGGTCATAAGCTCCAATCGGTATTTCCCGGTAAATCCAATCACGATCCTTTACAACATTTGGCCGACCTAGTTGGTTGTTACACAATTTTTTTTTTTTTTTTAAACAACCACAATTTTAAACAATTAAAATCTTCAATAATTGCAACTGTTTGCTATTCTTCTCAAATCCCACTTTACTAACTCGCTGCTCTCCCATCACATTCTTATTTTCTTCTTCCAATGTTTGTACGTCTTTCCCTTATTGTCCTCATCTGATGACTCTCCATAGGAAATTTCACTCTCTTCATTATTGTATACTTCATTTAATGTTCTTTTCATTTTTTCTCTATCCTTTGAAAGCTCCTCAAAGCTTATTTTGTCCATGTTCTGGAATCTTTGGAAGTCTTGCTCTAACGATTTTTTTCCAAGTTATACTAGGTCGACCCTCTTTCTTCTTTTCAAAATTTAAATTATATGCTAACTTCAAAGGGTGATTTTTATCCCTTCGCAAAACATGTCCAAAGTAACTAACACGCCCCACCCTAATTCTCCTATTAATAGTTTTACCGTCTAGTAGCTTTCTTGCATTAAACTTAATTTCTCTAGGTTTTACGTAGTACTGGTATATACTCCTCAAAATAAGTTTCTCATAATTAGCTATTGTAATTCTACTTTTCTTTGTCAAAACTGCTACTTTGGTGCCGTATTGTAAGGACGGTGATATCACTGTTTTATACATTAATTTACCTAATTCCCACCTTGGTTTAAATTTTTTGCAAAATTCTACTATAATCTTAGATGATTTAACCGCTTTTAAACATCTCTGTCTGCAAGTTAATTTTCTGTTCAATGTAGATGTTAAACAAACTCCTAAATATGTTATACTGTCGCATGCTTTAAATGTCTTGCCGTTTAAGATGATTTCGTTAGGATGTTGCACTTTATCATTAGGATATCTAATTAATACCTGACTCTTTTTGCAGTTTATTTCTAGTCCTACGACCTCCAGCTGGATTTCTAATTCTTTAAGTATCTCTTCCATCTCTGCTTTAGACTTCGTTATAATTAGAATATCATCTGCAAAAACAAGTAGCAAAGGAAGTTTTAATTGATTAATATCCAACAATTTTAGTTCCGGTATTTTTGCAACAACTCTGTTTAAAATATCTTGCATTATATAATTGAACAGCAGAGGTGAAAGAGGGCAGCCCTGTTTTATTCCTTTTCCTCTCGTTACTTCTTTGGAAAATTGATTCTGCCACAAAACTCTTGTAATCTCATCTTTAACACATAATAATACTCTATCTATTAGTCTCGATGGAACTCCAATCTTAATCAAAACTTCTGATAAACATTGTAATTTTACATTATCAAACGCTTTGCTAATATCTAGTAAAGATCCTGACCTGCGTTCCAATACTCTTCCATAATACGTCTAGCTACGTATATATGATCAACTGTAGACCTTTCTGCAGTAAAAGCCGCCTGATGCAATCCTGGCTCACCTGCATATTTCCTTAGCTGATAAGCTATCCACTTAGCATAAGTTTTGTAAGCTACATTACACATGGATATTCTTCTAAATTGATCTGCTTCTGTAGCTCCTGATTTCTTGGGAATGGGTATTTGCGTTGTTTTCTTCCATTCGTTAGGCATTTCATTTCTAATATACACTTCCTGTATTATCTCTGCTAATCTTTGTATTGAATTTTCATCGGAATATTTAATATATTCCGTAAATATTCTTTCCGCTCCTGATGACTTACCATCACTAGTTGCATAAAGTATGCTCTCAATTTCATATAATGTTGGTGGATTTGGCAATGGTGTATAATCATTGTTTGAACCAAATTCTATTTCTGGGTCCTCACAAGTTTTTAAAATGTCTTCCCAAACTCTAGTACTAATTATTGCAAATTTCCTCTTCTTTTGCTTAACAAACTGTTTAAGATAATTGTAGGGTTTTCTTATTCTTATGCCTGCATCAAAATCTTTAAGGTTTCTGAAAAATTCCATGATTTATAAGGTTGTCACAGCGAATCACCTTAAACTCAGATAATTAAATTTATGAATATACTTTAGTTAACCATCCCGCCCAAAACAATATTTCACGAACCAATTTACTTTAAACCTCAGCTCAGAGAACTCCAACACGCAGTAATTCACCCCCAACGCTCGTGAGTTCCAATTTTCCTCCCAATCACCACCCACAACCGCCTGAATTGGCACATTTCTCTGTTTGCATCCACACTCCTTCGGGGCTTGTCTGCTCTCGGCAGCTCGGCGAACGAGAATTGAGCTACTCTCTCTCGTCGTCGTCGTCGTCGTGCACAGTACCGAAAACCGCTGAATGATGCGAACCCTTTATCACACCCGCTGGCTGGCCGCGAGAGCACCGAATATCGCGCGAATTGAGCGAGCATAACAAACAAACAAAACACTCCGCACGCACAATCCATCACATCGCTATCTACCTCGTGTGCCACTCGAACTCGTCCGTCGCGTGATGTTTATCATCATCCAGTCTCTCACCGGTGGTTCTCTGAGCGCTCATTTTCGCGAACCCGAGACCCGAGACGGCATTTCGCGCTTCGTCTTTGTCTTTTCCTATGCTATAATATCCGAACCCGCTTCGGGGAAATCCCTCAGTCAATCGCGGCCCGTTGCTCATGTCTGATGTTGCAAACTCGCAAACTCTTTCTCTCTCACCCGGTGTATATCTGGTATCATCTGATCTGAACCTGATGCTGAGTCTTTGTGGATTCATCGTGTTACGAATTTCAATCGAACTTGAATGATTGTTTAAAGAGCTTGTTGATAATCGAATACCCCCTTTAGGTTTTGTCTCGGTCGCGCGATCGCGATTCGCGAGTGAGTCAGTTTTGGTGGGGACTAGAGTGTGAAGTCCTTTCACACGTCACCAGGCCGCAACATAACACTGTGTGGAAAGTGGGTGGTGCGATGCGGATCAATTAGCATTCTCGTCCTTTGGCGGTTTCAAGCTCCGATTCGCGTGTGTTTGTATGCGTTGGTATGTTGTGAGTGCAAGAGGCATGTGGAAAGCTAATTTGTGGTGAACGAAGCACAACCAAGAAAAAAGCACGACAATCTTTGTGAAGCGAGGATAGTCAGAATTCCTTTGATCCTTTTGAGTACCACCGTTAGCTTGGAAAGTGAGGAAAACAGCGTGGCACGTGTTGTGAAGCCTCAAGGGCACAGGGTTCGAATCCTATCAGGACGATTAAAGTGTGTGCTGTTGAGGAAAAGTGGGTTTCAAGTGGTTCTACCGAAGATATTCATCGCGAAGCGAACGACCCCAGGCCAATGTCGGTGCAAAATCAGCGGAAATAAGCCGAGCAAAAAGTGTGTATTATCAGAGGTATTTCTTTTCCCTCCCTTAGTAGAAGCTGTTGTCTAGATAATTGAGTAGATTTTCCGTTCGCCTGTTGGTACTGCTGGTTGGTCGGCGAGGTCTTTTCGTAGGATTCGAGAGTGATTGGAGCTATTTTCGGCACTGCCACTTGGGCAGTCAGTGTGTTTTCCTTCGATTCTTACGACGACGACGACGGCAACAAGATGCCAACAACAAACGAACGAAAGATACGGCATACGGTAGTAGAACCCAAATCTTCGGAAGAGGAAGAAAGCAGACGAAGACGACGGTGACATTTGGGTAAACATGGCAAGCAAGAGAGAGAAGGCCGCCGATAGAAAGAGGGTGAGCGTTGGGCTGAATACGAAGCGAAGCAGGAAAGAGAGTCCATTACACGATAGAAAAGTGAGAGTGTAGAAAATAGGTCCAATTTTTCCGACTTTCGGAAGGTTTTTTTTTTCCTTTTGATATTTTACCTAGAGGAAAAGCGTGTGAGTGTATGTGCGCTAAAAAAATAACAATTCAAAACCATGTGACGGGATTGTACAGCTTCTCCTATGCCATGAGGAGTCCTATCTCAAAGAGGATGATTGGAATTGCCTCGTCATATGCGAAGACGAGACGTTTGTTATTGCTGGACGAAGCCGGAGTTGGATTCAGAGTAGAAAAACAGAACCGAATAGAAATATGGGAGAAACATTACATAATGTTTCCCTCGAGTGGAGTGTGTTTCCAGCTCTCGCTTCGGTAGAGCCGAAATGGAAATGATGGATGAAAATGTTGCGGGGTATAGCATGAGAGAGCCTCCCCCCGGCGGGCTATTTGAGTACTGATTTTTTTTTGAAAAGACCATTTCCCGAGAAAATAATCATAATGGTATTGAGAGAATGGGGATTTATGCGGAAGGATATCCATTCAAAATGCTGAGACACTGTCTGTCTGTCGGTCGAAGTTGTAGAAGCAAAATAGAACACAGCGAATCGCCGAGTCGCGATCCTCTATATGAGATGGGTGGAGGACCCTTCACAGACTTTTAACGAAGAACCCGACCTTGAGCGACGGTGTGTGTGAGTTGGTGTCCGACTAGCAGATGCCCCAGCACTGTGTTTTCGATTTCGAGTGTTTGGGATCGTTTGGGCAAAAGGGGACGTCCGTACCCGTCGGTTGGTTTTATGTTTTTCTGATGTTTGTCTCATCCGTGCTGGCATTAGCATTTACAATTTTGTCCTTTCGAGAGGGCATGACGGTGATGAGTTTTGATTCGGTTTCTTGTGCTAGGATAATCTTGGAAACGTTTGATGGGATGTTTTATTCATTAGAATGATATTCGGGAATTGATTGACTAAGATTGCAAATGTTTGGGAAACTTTCGCTTCCATGCAGCGAGCTAGTCAGCAAGTTAGGGAAAAATAGCAGTAGTATTGGAAAGTTTGAGGGCTTGAATAGCATTAACATGGTTATAAATTAAATCGGATGTATGAGGATACATTTTGCGAGGAAGTTTCATAATTTTTATGAGGCTTGGCCAAACTAGAAAACTATGTTCAAAATCTTACCCTACTAGTACTGAAGACAAATGGAAGAAATCACCCCTCTACAGCCCGAATTATGGTGTTAATCTTTTCCATTATTTGGGTTACTTTTTTCGAAAGGCCTTTATGAAAATAATCAGAATTGCTGAGAACTATGTTGATATAGATGAGTTTAGCTTATTTGGAGCAGGTTTTGTTGAAACCAAAGTTCTTTTCGTCTCACCAATTTAGATTTTATAGCAATCTGGACAAGAGATTTTGTAGACTCCGGCTTTCCCTAAGACATTTATTGAATCTTTTGTTGATCCTAACAGTGACTTCAGCTGATTTGTCCTGCTGCTGAATACTAAATGTAGGCTAAAACTTCAAAACTTCGAAATCAATGGTTTGGTAATGTTTTTGTCGAAATTCACCGCTACCCGTTTTAAACCCTCGGTTACTGGTGTAAGAGTTGTCAAAATACGCCTACAGGGTGATTCTGAATAACTGTCACTTTTAAGAATAGTCATAACGATTGAACGCTTTCATGATTTTTTTTTATATCAGCATATTCCAGATATACTACATATATAACCTTCAACTAAGCATAGCATAGCATAGCATAGCATAGCATATGCGATTGTACAAATCGTGGGTGGCTGTTTAATGGTCAACTAATACGTTTTGCAGAAAATATCGTGTGTTGACGCAGAAAATATCACTTGGGATTTGTGATTTTCCCCACACAAACATAAAATCTACAAAACAAGCATCGCATTATACACCTGGCCACATCCTTACAATCGCAGGGGACGGGAGGGAAAGTTAATTCAACATCTACTTAAGAAGGTGCAGGGAACCCATACTACCTTCATAGGTGTCATAGGACGGAAAGAGTTGTGTTAGTGGGAGGGTGAATGATTTGGAAGCTCTATTTGTCAATATAGAGCATTTTATAAATCAGTGACACAAATGGAATCTAAATAGATAAAATGAAAAGATCTCACCCGATTGGCCTAGTGACTTTTGCAGCGTCATGTTTTCGAAAATGCTTTAACATATATAACCTTCAACTAAGCATACTTTAATTCAAACCTCTCTACCTGTACCTTTAATTACCACCCACATTTATCATGAAAATGAACAACAGCTGGCACGCACGTTTTAAATTCAGCACTTTTGGAGTCCTGGCGAAGCGTCTAAGCTCTGAAATTGAAAGGATTGTTCACGCATGGTTACTTTTTACCTCTATAATGATGCGGAAAATAACTGTTTCATTCTTTCGAGAGATTTCAGTTTCTAAAAGATAACACACAATTTTATACAGATTTATGACAAGCTCCATTTCCACGTGCATCGCTGCTTGAAATTGAAAACGAATGAAATTCAAGTCCTACTATCAATACAAGCTGATATTTGTACACACTGTTAAATAAAAATACTTGAACATATACTTATTTTACCCATTGAGGATTGCATATTTGTGAAATCGGTGACAGTTATTCTGAATCACCCTGTAAAATGATCTCTTGTTCTTTTATCGATTACTGCTTGAATTGTTTTTTCTTGTCTAAGTCTAGTGATTTCAAAAATGTGAGCTATTTCCTTTGTTTTGCCTGTATCGTTAAGAGGAAGAGTTTGCATCCTGTGTACCATGTGGTGAAAGGCGGCAATTTTGTGTTGATGGGAATGGTATTACTCTCTTTGTATTTGTCGGTTTCCTATAGATTTCGAAATTGAACGAAGACGCTTCCCTGGAGATGGGAAGATCTAAGAAGTAGAGTTTGCTGTCTCTCTTTCTCTTCTTCGCGAGTAAATTGATGTCCTTGTGAACGTTGCTTATGGCCTCCAAAGTTTTTGATAAATCTTCCCTTTTGACAATGCTAAACATGTCATCCGCGTACCTATACCAACACTTGGCAACAAATTCCTATCCCCCAGAGTGTTTTCTAGGTTAGCCATGAACAATTCACATAAAAATGGAGTAAGCGAATTGCCCATAGGAGCGCCTTTAGATTGTTTATAAAAATTTCCGCTGAAAATGAAATAATTTTCCTCCATACAAAGACGAGTAAGCTTGAGACATGACCGAACTTTGTTTTTCCAAGTAGTATCCTCAAGTTGCTTCAGAAGCCAGTCCTCTAAAAGGCTGATGGCTTCCTTTACTGGTACACTCGGAAAAAGTGCTGTGACATCAAATGAAACCATGACTACATCTTCCCGAATCTCTCCTGATGCCTGAAGGTGATTTGCGAATTCCTGTGTGCTTGTTAACTGAGCGAGTGGTAAAGGGTTAAGGCATATTTTGAAATTCCTTTACTAGCCATTTGGCAAGCTTATGAGTGGGGGATCCTTCAGCCGAGATAATATCCCTCATTTCGTTTCCTGGTTTGTGAATTTTTGGTAAACCTCTGATCCTAGGTACAGGGCTGGTAGTGAGTCACTTTTAAGTGACTTGGTCACTTTTTTCAAGCCAGTCACTAAAAAGTCTCTTTTTTAAGTTGAAGTCACTAAAGTCACTTTTTCTTGTAATCAGTCACTATTTTCAACTTTTTTAGCGTGAATTTATTTCAAGATTGATCATCCCAAGTAGCACAATTCTGTCCCAAAAAGTTGCAGCAACTTGTTTATAACTGAAATAAGTCGTATATAAGTTTACAAAACCAATTTATAACAAGGGTGCTGCTAGAGATTCTTTGCTTTGTGACGTTTAATCCTTTTTCTCTATCTACAGGGTGTCTACTCATTTTTCGAAATCAAATTACTTGAGTTTTCCAGGTTTTTCCAGAACTTTAACGGATAAATTCAAGGTTTATAATAAGAAAGCTAAGCGTTCAAAATATGCTTTTTCTGGAAGATCAAAAACAACAGTAATTAATCTAAACGTTTTTAAGACATGGCAATCAGTTTTAAAGAAACAACTTTATAATAAAATTCATTGAATGTATAAGTTTAGCACTTACTTAATATCTCACTTTAATAAAGTTAAATAAAAAAACCTACTTAATTTGACTAAGTTCAAGATCTAAAAATATTCAATGTCTTGTAGCTTCGTATTCCATGTACATGTTCAATATATTGAAAATTTTTAAAAATGTGCCTGAATTAAGGAAAACATTAAACGATTTATTTCAAGTTCGCAATTAACTTTATGAAAGATTGGAGATCTTCATTGCAGTCTCATTAACTTCACAACAATTGTAGGAACTTTGAAGAAGTTCTGTGAAATGAAAGGAAATGCTGAGAATTTAAGTAAAGCTCCAACTACGGTAACATAAGGGAAGTTGCCGGCGCCGGTGGTGTAGTGGTAAGCGTGACTGCTTTCTAACACCCCGATGAGTCTAGGTTTAATCCCAGCCGAGGTTGGTGGGATTTTTCTGAAGCATAAAAATCTCTGGTCACGTCTTCCTTCGGAAGGGAAGTAAAGCCGTTGGTCCCGGCCCATGTGTGTTGTGAATGGGTGCGATATACTACGCAGGTGTGGAAGCTGCCTTC